TTGGAGACCAGGTAGCCGGGCTCTGCGGAGCGGGGCGCCAGTTCCACACCAGTGGAACCATCGGTGGGGATGGTGGGATACAGGATCTCTGGTGCGTTGTCATTTTGGTCCACCACGAACAGGTTCAGAGACACGTTGCTGCTGAGTGGAGGGTCACCGCTGTCCTGTGCTATCACTTGCAGATGCAAGTCTTGGAACTGCTCATAGTCGAAGGAACGCAGCGCATACAGAACACCAGTGTTGGAGTTGATGGAGATGTAGGAGGATATCGGCGGCCCGGGAAGGCTGTCCTCGGCCAGTGAGTAAGTGACCTGGGCGTTCACTCCATAGTCGGGGTCATAGGCGGTCACGGACATTACGGGGGCTCCTCTAGGGTTGTTCTCCACGATATAGGCAGAGTAGAAAGCATCGGAGAAGGCGGGCGGGTTGTCGTTGGTGTCTGCTACTTTCAGTGAGATATGAGTTTCCGTGGACAGGGGCGGACTTCCTCTGTCACTGGCGGTCACTGTGATGTTGTAGCTAGGAACCTGTTCCCGGTCTAGGAGTGTGTCTGTCACTAAACTATAGTAATTTCCATAAGACTTTTCTAATGTAAATGGCAGGTTCCCTCGGATGAAACAGATCACTTGTCCATTTTCCCCAGAGTCTTGATCATTTACATTTAAAAGGGCAATTAATGTCCCTCTGGGAGAGTTTTCCAGAATGGAGCTGGAGAGAGAGGTGACAACTACTTCAGGGGCGTTATCATTCACATCCAATACTGTGATCAAGACTTTGGCTTGTGCAGAATACCCTGCGTTATCAACTGCTTGCACTTCCATCTCGTAGGATTCCGATTCCTCGTGGTTCAGCTCCCCTATTGTTGAAATTGTCCCTAGGTTAGCATCTAGTTTGAAAACTTGGGCTGCCTTGTTGTCCACATAACGGAAGGAATATATCACTTCCGCATTGGCTCCTTCATCAGGGTCGGTGGCACTTACCAGAAGCAGCTTAGTGCCTATGGACACATTCTCTGGAACGCTTATGCGGTACTCAGACTGAGCAAATACTGGTGCATTGTCATTCACATCAACTACCATCACATGGATGCGCGCGGTGCCTGTGCGGACTGGGTCACCCCCATCGGAGGCGGTGAGAACAAGGTGATGAACAGCCTTCTGCTCCCGGTCCAAGGCGCGCTCCAAAACCAATTCTGGGTACTTGTTACCATCCGCTCTGCTTTGCACGTCCAGGGAGAAATGAGTATTACTACTGAGTCCATAGCTCTGGAGAGAGTTCTTCCCGATATCCAGATCCCAAGCATGGGGAAGAGGAAACCGCAACCCAGTGGCTGCGTTTTCACTCACTTTTATTTCCAATTCATCTTCCCGGAAATAAGGGGCATTATCGTTAATGTCTATCACTTCTACCACTACCCCATATATTTTTACTTTATCCTCCAACAGAATCTCCAGATTTAATTGACACTTTAAGACGCCCATACAGAGCTCTTCCCGGTCTATCCTGCCTGCGGAGATTAGGCTGCCGCTTCGAAGGTTCAGAGCGAAAAGTTGAGTCCTACCTCTGGAGACTATACGGACTCCGCGCTCTTCTAGTTCCTGGGGCTCCAACCCCAGGTCCTTGGCGATGTTTCCCACCCTAGAGCCTTTCTCCAGCTCCTCAGGAACCGAATAGTGAATTTGGGCGCATCCGGTTTCCCACAGAATCCCCAGGAGAACTCCCAGCAGGACAAGCCCTTTGCAGTCCTGATGCAGTCGCTCAGGAATCATCGTCACTTTCCTGGAGGATATTACTTCCAATTCTTCCCTAGACCACCAAAGTCAGGACCAGTTTTCCCCGTCTTCAGAATCCAGCAGTTTCTTCACATTTCTGGAGATGGTTAGTTTCTATCTGGGCTTTGTGCTTCAGGCGCCTGCAGGGCAAGCAGGAGGCGAGCAGGATCTCTGTTTTTCTCTCCCTGATTGGTGAACAGCGGCGCTCAGAGTCCTAACCAATTACTGCACAATCTTGAACTCCAGGAAGGATTTTTGGTTTTTGTACCTTAAATAGCTCCACCTACTGTTCTTCAAATAGGGATGAAAGTAGAGCCAACTAAAAAACTACAGCGTTCCTTTTAATAGAAATTTCAGTCAACTTCTTTGTATTTTTCAAAAATTTTTCATACAGAGCCGCTTTCTTGAGATTTTCTGTAGCAGTATTGTTTTGCCAATGAGCTTTTAAATGAATGTGAAGTTTCCAAAGTAATTTTAACCGTATAATTTTAGTGCACCTAATTTGATATCACCACCCCCAAAAAACACCTATTATGGGACATCTTCCTAGGCGTTTCCTATTTTGAGAAATCATATAATAGAATAAATTAAACTTTCTCAGTTGGCTGTAATAAGGGACAGATTTTTACAGATTTTTAAAATATACCTAAATAGAGGAGCTACTTTAAAAGGTTGTCAATATTTAATATTTAGAAATCAAAATTTCACAATATAGAAATCTAAAAATAAATGCAATTGTATACATTATCAGAAGCACACTGACAAGAAGTCAAGTGAGCAAGACACATTAACATTTTTAGGACAAAACTGAAGCATTTCAACTTGCATTTACTGGAAATAAGGGTAGTACCTTACAACTTACTAATACATTATATTTCGAAATCATGTTTGAGAAAATTAGCAATCCAAAGAATATTATAAGCTTATCTTTTTCTGAGTAACAAACCCAATTCCATTTACTGAAAATGACTGGTAATACATTTGAAAGCCCATTAAAATATAGGAAAAAATTCTCACTATTCTGCTTTCATGAATGTAAATGTTTGGATTCTGAGGATAAGCATATTTGACAGGCATGCCACAACATATCTTTAAAACTGGGAGGAAATCTACAGGTAGTTCTGATAAAAGACTGGGAATAAAACTGGCCTATTCAGTGAGATTCAAAGAATCCCTAGCAAATGTAATGGAGTATTATCAAAATATTACTCTGTCATTGAAAAATAAAACTTGTCAGGGCACCTGGATGGCTCAGTGAGTTAAGCATCTGCCTTCGGCTCAGGTCATGATCCCAGGGTCCTGGGATTGAGCCCTGAGTTGGGCTCCCTGATCAGCGGGGAGTCTGTTTCTCCCTTTCCTTCTGCCCTCTCCCCAGCTAGTGCTCTGTCTCTCAAATAAATAAATAAAATCTTTAAAAAATAAAACTCTTCTTGTGCATTTTCCTCTCACTTTGTAGTTATAAAGAAAAAGCCTTATATACTCAAGATATTGATGTTCTGAGAAAGAAACACCCACAGAAAGAAAACAGTTATGCCTCAGTGACAAGTATTTCTGTGGCAACAGCATAATACCCACTTGTCACCATAAAGGAGATATTGTGTGTATGTGGATAAAGACTATCTCAGGTAAAATTGTCAAAATATTTCAAAATACTTGAGGGCTAATATTGAAGTTACTGGCCCACAGAGAAAGAAAAAGAAAATACTGAGAGTGGGTAAGCAAATGAAGTGATAGTAGATAGGATCTGTTTAGGACTTCTTTTGCCAAAATGTTTTGAAAATTAAACCAAACCTGTTTATTGACACTCACGTGAGCAGAATCATCAGTGTGAGAATTTAATTTGTTATTCTCCTCAGTGAAACTTATTACCAAAGAAGCTTCATTAGAGAGTTCTTGTTGGAGGCCCATTTCTGACGTCCTAGTGAGAAAATTAAGCCTTGCTTTCTGAGAATCAGAGGCAACGTACATATTGTAGGAATAAGGCAAAGTTCCCCGGTTGTAGTTGGGAGAAACCCCTGGTCCAGTCTTATAACAGAGACCAGGCTGAAAGCAGCCCCAGGCAGCGGGGCGGGAGGAGCGTCCCAGGCGCAGGGCAACAGCCAGAATCACTGCGAGGAGGAAGAGCACCGAGATCAAGGCCAAAGCCACCACCAGGTA